AAAAATTAAGTTTTTATATATTTACGGTAGGAAATTAACTAAATATCTTCATGGAACATGATCTTTACTTAATGTCCTAATGATTTTTGGCATAAAAGAAAAATCAATAATTCTGACCCATGCAATGTATTTGTGGCTATTGCTACAAATATACCCCAGCGACTTAAGACTGGTTTTGTGGTCCAGGGTCACATATACTCCTTTTAAAGACTGTAGATTGCTAGATGGAGAAACAAACCTCCAAAAATTGAGGGTGTTGCATTAATTTGTGGTCAAAAATGAAGAAGTAGCTCAAAGCACCCAGGCCTAGATATAAGATCGCAGCACCCAGGTTGGTGACCACCATCAAGCCGATGATCTGCCGCAGAGGCTCGTCCTCCGGCCATGATGAGGGATACACGTATGGAGTGAAGAAGTAATAATCTGCAACGTTGAGCACAAGGTCCATCTTTGACTCTAGGAGTTGGACACAAGTGTCTAAAATGTAAATGAACAAAAAGGCCTTTAAATAATTCACTTAATCATCACTGCCATATTCTAACAAACACTGAAAATACTACAAACACTCCAGTGCACTTATATTGTAAATATTAACCTTTGTACTTTTCTAAGACAAATTGAATCAGAAAAAGTGCAAACAGAATGAATGCAGAGCATTATTGTTGATAATACATATTCATGTCTGAAACCAAATGCTGTAATTGTAGGAAACAATCAGCTCACCTGTAAAGGTGCTTTTGAAGACACACCAGAAGAGAAAATACGTGAGGTTAAAAGCCTCACAGAGACCGTCCTTCTGCTCTCGCTGTAGAAACTCAAACGGACGCAGCCAATAGCGGCTCACTTCCTCACATTCTTGACATCTCATTGGACAGATGCGAGATCTGGTCGTGGCGTTAGTGATAGGAGGTCCAACTATATTCTGCGACTCGGTTCTTTTGAACAGTTCGTCTAGAAGAACCGGTTAAAAACAGATTCAATGATTCTTTGATGTCGTTACGTATAATTGTATCATCACGAAGCGCACATCTTGTTCTTTGTGACTTTCTCGATTGGCTTTTATTATTAATTATTGTTATTGTATTTAAATCTGCCTCAGTTCAGTTTGTTATAGACATAATTCAGTCATTTAGAAAATAAATATAATTGATATTTCCAATAGGCTAAACAACTCTCAATTAATTTCCATCTGAAATGTTTTTGTTCGTTTTAGTAAAACCAACTCTGCATAGAGCTGTAACAATTTGTGAACGATTCAATTAGACGTGGTTTGTGAACCGGTTGAAAAGAATCAATGAAAAGGTCCGTTCACAAACCGTACACCTCTGTATGGCGTTAACTTACAGATGAATCATAGTCTGTTAAAGAAACATTGTGATTACTCAGTTTCATTAATCTAAGCACATCGGCTCGACTATGTTGTAGAAAAATAGTTATGTAGGCAGAAAAGGTCCAAGGAATAGGAGATGTCGTCATCAGAGAGCGACATAACAACAAACGGCAGCGCTGGGCAGAAGACTGCACGGGTCTGTATTATTACTTTTACTAAGATCGTTTAATAGCTTTCATAATAAGAGTACTTTTATGAAATCCATGCACTGCATAACTTACGATGGATAGAGTGTTTCAACGTAGTTTGATCTTTTGACTGTGTACCGAAGTCTGATCATGGACAGTGAAGTGCAGAGAGATGGAAGAGTTCTCGATCTCACAGATGATGCCTGGAGAGAAGACAGACTGCCATATGAGGATGTCACAATCCCACTGGTAAAACTTCACATCTACAGTTTTGATATGTGCATTTCGAATTACGTACGTTAAAATGTATTATCTTAAAGCTGCAGTCCGTAACTTTTTTTTGGTTAAAAATGATCCGAAATCAATATTTGAGCAAGTACATAACCAGCCAGTGTTCAAAACTATCGCCTTACTTTAGCCCGATTCACAACGGTTATCTTATAATAATGTATTTTTAATTTGAGTGGTACTGGTAGGTTTTCGCGGGAAATTCGAGCATG